ATATAGACTGGAATGATGTTAATTTATTAAGAGGGCCAGCCTGGACTACCTAAGCCTAATCAATAGTTTTTTTTATTTTACAAACTCAAAATTTTTACTGGTTGGTTGGTTATTTTTACCGGTAAAATTGACGGCTAAGACGGCTTCGGGAGAACACTGGATATAATGAGTAACGCAGCTTATGTCATTAAGTTGGATCTGTCTCTTATACACATCTAGATGTGTATAAGAGACAGCATATATTGTCATTTAATTGTACTATCATTACTACTATTTAATCAGAATTGAATTTGGAGACTGGTATAAACATTGATTGACCTACTTTAATGACAAAATATAGGCGCAGTACTATAAATGCTTTTTCCCGGCGTTTGAACACTGCACCGATTCGACCAAGGTTAGGCCTACAATCCAGTCAGCTGCCTAATCCAATGTATTGTTATGATATTTCCCGTTTCTTTGTGCATCCAAGAGCAAAGACTAGATGGACTATGATTGTATTATTATGAGTTTAAATATTCAATAATCCTTGTACAACTACAAAACCTGATATTCCAGTACAACAATGGTGATTGATATGGAAAAGGGCAACATGCATACGGCTACTTTGTAAAATTATGGTAAAAGCAAATTACTGTATACCAAGTCTGTTTTCTATGTTTATGGTAGGAAGATGGAAAAACATTCATCTTCAAAGGTCGATATTTAAAATGACTCCGTGCCGTCAATGTTGTGTTGTGATTATTTTTTAGGAAGTTATAAAGAGTGTGCGCTATGTTTATATATACAGTACTTCACTTAGTTGAGTGCCTTCCTGTTTTAGTCAATAGCCACAGTACTACCAGTTCGTTGTGCCGCTACAAAAATTGTAACAGTAGTCATATCATGAATAATAATAATTTTTAACCATTCAACTTACGGAAGTACCAACTGAACCGAATTTTACAGGGGGTATATTTAAATTTAGGTCTCTACACTATATAATTATTAGTACGGTCGGCCTGGTACACCAAAGACTTTCAGGTATTCGAATTATGAGTATAAACAGGATGGGTTTGATTTCATACTGTACATTTCATGAAAGTTCGATGTTGAATGAATCTCAGTGTTAAAAGATCACCTTCGTCATTGTACAAATAAATTCATCAGTGCCAGATTCAAGGGGGACCAGCCGGCCGGCCCTCCCATAAATTTTTCAAAATTTAAAAAAAAATGAAGGAAAAAAAAATTATAAGTGAGACTGTCATTACCTCAGCACCAACCGGGTCTGGCTGAGGTAGTATAGAACCCTCCCCACCCCCCCCCCCATCTGTGGAAATCCTTCCATGGTACCCTCTATTATAATATTTAAATTTCCCGGATTCGCCAATGTTTAATTCAGAAAACTTTTATTTCCAATTCATTTTCATAAATTTAAACGGATTTTTACATACAATGAATTGGAGGCAACTCAGTGAAAGCAAGCCTTTGACAGTAAAGAACACACAAAAACATTTAAACATTAAAATAGATCTTATGGTAACAGGAAAAGCGAATGGAACAACGCTAAATTATGAGAATATATGCATATCAGTTACATTAGTAATCGAGTTATACAGTAGCCTTGTGAACTGATGATCTCTTGAATTTACGTGACCCAAACTTAATTGTCTTTACCATGATAAAAAGATTCTCATATCAAATAGACCTTGCGCTTATGAGGTTAACTAACATAATCTTGGTTTTATTTAAAAGGAAACTCAAATCAATAATAATAATAGTAGTAGTAATAATAATAATAATAATGGTAATAATAATAATAATAATAATAATAATAATAATAATAATAATAATAATAATAATAATAATAATAATAATACTGTAAAATAATAATGTTGCTCTCAACTACTCTACGCAAGATTTTCACAGAAGTTAAAGCTATAGAAGTTTACGTTCGGCTCCCGTCCCCTTTGCTGCTTGCGAAATTTTATGACACCTCTGGTTGGACAATAAACCATTCCTACTCAGTTTCTTGACGTAAATTAATCATCTCTGCTTTGGGATCAGATTTATCCTGCCAGCAGAGTATAAATTTTGGTGGTTCAGTTATGGTACCCGACACGTTTTCTGGAGGTCGTGAGTTCGTTCCCATCCGAATATCCTGTGACTTTTTCTTTCACAAGTAGGGCCTACTGAGTAGGTCTATTGGGATTGCTATAACACATCAGGTTGGGTAAATCATTCCTGTATAATTATTCATAAAGGTAGTCCTATTGATTGATAATTATTAGTTAGCCCATGTATTTTTTATTCACATGAGCTATTTTTGTACAGGGTTCGAATCCCGTCAAATATTTGGTCTTGTCTTATGTAGTGCTATAATTTCTCTAATATGCCTAGGCCTTATAGGCCCAATTAATTGGGGTCAGTAATGATTATCCGAGATATTATGTCGCCAAATATGCCCATATCAAATTTCAGACACGTTTTATGCAACACCAAGAAATTATGCTGCTACACAATGTATACGTGGCTGGCTTTTTTCAAATAATGTATTTATCCATGCAGTACAATTTTGTGTTTGTTTGCAAGAAAAGAACGAAATAAACCGCAATCTCACGGACAATGAATACTGTGTTGTCATAATCACCCATGCATAAACAATTGTTTTGAATATCATTCATAATATACAGGCGTTTTCATATTACTATGATAAAATAAATCCTCTTGAAAGACTTTTATCCCTTTTGAAGATTTATAAATGGTCACGTGTAAACAGTAGGCTATGTCAGTGTCATTGTGAATTCACCGGTTAATACATCCCATCCCATCCCATGAAGGCACTTTCCAATAATAATAATAATAATAATAATAATAATAATAATAATAATAATAATAATAATAATAATAATAATAATAATAATAGTAATAATCTGA